GTCAAGAGGTAAGGAACTTGGTGGCTTCTAGAGCCCACACAGTGAGATGCAAAGAATCATATTCTCTCTGGAAACTCTATGGAACTGAGCCCTGCCACCACATGGTTTCCATGGTGTGAGACCTGCCTCAGTCCTCTGACATGCAGGATGGTGAGATAACAGATGTGTATTGCTTTCAGCTACTAAGTTTGCTCTGGCATTGACAGGATCCAGTGCGAGGTCCAGGCGACTATGATAAAGCAAGAATGAGCACTGGGCCACCTCAGGCAAATACTTGTCCTTGCATCAGAGACGCAAAAGCTTTCTCACAGACACCCCAGCAGATTTCCATCTGTTCCTCATGAACCAGAATTAGGTTTTGTACCTACTCTCCACTGTAAGAACGGCAAGGAGAGGAAGTAGCATTTTAGCTTTTGAGGGGCTGCTCAGCTGGGTCATGATCTGCTTTCCTACCGGAGACACCTGCTTAGGTTCTCCCTAGTCGGTGTCTCCACATGGAAACATGAATGTGTGTGACCTTAACTCTTGTTAAAAGTAAACTCTGTGAGCACATGTGTGCATGTGTGCATGTGTGTCACTCATTCCTGCCTATCAATTTTACATAGAAGTCAAAATCTCTCAATTTTTGATTTCATGACTTTTTTAGATAATTCAACAAACATCTTTGATTTTGTCTTTTTTCCTTTTATGTATCTGATAATTACTCTATAATTATTGCTGTTTCGAAGTGAGAATTTCACCATTTGTTTTCTAAACTGTCCCCTCCCCTGTCATGTACAAAAGGAGCTGTCCTTATCTCAGTCCTTCAATGACTTCCTAGTCTATCTGCTGTTACAGTAGCTAGGGTTAGAAACAGTGTCCACATTCGTTTTTCACTTATTAATCATATGAAGTGAAGAAATTTTCCTTAATCACGCTCTCCTCTACTCATTTTCCGGGTTGCCTTAGATAAATGATGTCATTTGCTCCCCTGTTAGGCACTCATTCTTGATGGTGATGATTCCACTCACTTCACAGCCCTGAGAGTTCTGAAGCATCAGATTCTCTGAACCCACGGGAATGTAGAGAGAACGGGGTAATCTCAGGTGCAAGATAGACAAGGAGCTTTCTCTGCAGGAAATATTGCTGCTACACCCACAGCTAGAAGGTAGATCCTGTAGAAGCGCAGCCCCCCTTCTGCCCAGGAGAGGTGGATGAGTTCAGGTTGCACCATCCGGATCCCAGCACCAGAAGGACACTGCACTGCAGGGAAGAGCCTTGGGAACACTGTTCCATGTGTCCATCCACCACCTCCTCTCTGGACCTGAGGGGAGACGACAAAGACAAGGGAAGAAGCAGAAGGTGATGGGGGGCACTCATCTGTCCCGCTCTGCACAGGGGCCTGCCCCAGATCTTATTAAATCACAGATTGTCCCCCTCATTGTTTCTATGAAGAACTGGCAAGGAGTCATGACTTTTCTTGTGGGAGGGGAATCACACTTATTTTAGTGAGAGAGAAGGCTCCTAGCACTTCCACTCACTGTACTTAACTTCCAGGGAATCATCTTTGAACATTCAAAGTTCGTATTAAAGATGATGTTCTTTAACCAGTAAAAAAAACAGTATTCATGTCCCATAAAATGCCCCTATCTTTGCTGATTGCAGGAAAAGACATAGATAAATCAGCATTTTATTTATTTTGTGGCTTGCCTGTTGGTTGCCTGCCAGATACTCTTTTTCTTCTCTTCTCATTCTACAGGGCTTCTGCCTTGTTTGCTGCAGCACATAATTTCAGTTTCTTACAGGTAGGGTGGCTATATGACTCAGCCCTGGCCAATATTAGACAAAAATCACTGGGTGGGGTTTCCCTAAAGGCTCTTCAAAAAACAAACTCAGCTGATGTATCTCCTTAAGTCTGTTCCCTTCATTACCTTGCCTGAAGTTGATAAACATTATAACTAGAGCTCAGGCTCATATTCTGGGAATCTGAAAACAGGTCTTAAGGTAAAGATGGATTCTGGTCGAATGGGGTCTTTGTGGCATCCCAAGATTACCTAATATATTTAAACTAATATTGTACAGCTTTTCTGTTCCATGCCTCTGTAGTCAACTCTGGGAAAATACTCTGCTCCTAGAGGAAAACCGTCTTCTTCTTCCTGTGCACAGATACCTCTGGATGCCCACTTACGAACGTCTGGCTAAGGTGATATCAGATGTAAGATTGTGATGGTAAATGTTGAAGACCACCATCCAGACTGTCAGTCACTGATGGTTCACAAATGAGTCCCCATCTAGGTTTCTCTTTAAAACAAGTAGATCCACAAAATATGATAGAAGTTTCTCAATAGGGGGAAAAACTTGCACAAAATAAATAATTATTGACATTTTTATTGGTGAAATATTGGTGAGGCACCAGACTGCAGCTCTGGGAAGTGGGATCATATCAAGAGATCTGAGAACCTCAAGACAGCTCAGAGGAGTCTGGGCCCACGTGAGGTCCACACAGGGAGCTGTCACTTAGGTCTTGAAATGAGATCTGTAAGCCAGGAAATTCTTGTATTGGTTTTGGCTGATTTCTTATCACTGAAATTTATTGCAAAGTTAATAACATTAACTTGGTTTAGCCATTCTAATGGGGAAAAGGGTAAAAGAAAATCAGATATCTTTAGTGAGTGAAAGATACTAAGGCAAGGAAATCCCAAGAGGGAGGCAAAAACAGAAAAAATGAATGCCGGCAGAATCAAGGAGGGAACTGTCACTGCCCACATTAAGTTTTGCATTCAGGAGAGACTCTTGCCTCCAAATTTACATTATAGATTGAGTATGCTAGAAATATCGAATTCTGTGAGGAACAAAGTTGATAAAGTCCTGCCTTTTGGCACTGGACTAATTTAAATATTATATTTTTTCCTTTAAAAACATTTCCAAGCACCTGATATGTGCCAGGTATTCAACAAATTATAGTCAAGATCTTTACTCAACTTCGAAAGAGGATTCGTTTTTTTATTTCCCGTAGTTGTGGATTGCGGCATAATTCAGTGGTGCATTCTGTGCTTCCTACCTACCAGTAAAACTCGGTTTGACAACACAGATTAGGATAGGAGGCCAGTTGTGATGACAAGTTAACCCCCTTTGCATCCTGAGAAAAATGGCATTTTCTTTGCAAGCTAGATGTCTCTCAAATGTTATTAACAGGATAAAAATAACCAATTACATAAGCCTTGGCAAGAAAACCTTACTTTAATATTATCTTCATCTGATAGGAGAAACAGCATACAATAGAAAAATACAGCTATTTTTACAGTAGAACTGACAAATTTTAAGTTGCACATTATTACTGGAATTTCTGGGTTTTATGAAGATATACCTATTTTTTGGTTTGGAACTTTTATTTCAGTATAATTTAATTTTGTGCTTTATTACGCTTCTTAAAAATTTCAAAATACCCATAGATTTCCAGCAACTCCAGCATACTGTTCTGCATCCAGGAAGGGGGGTGGGCGAGTGGAGGGCTTGCTTAGCGTGTTCTCGGTCTGGGTTCAACCCGGTTTGTGTGTGTGCGCGCGTGTGTGTGTACATAACCAGGCGTTATGTGGTACAGCATACGGTGTAAATTCAGTTTTTTTCGACCGGACTTGGAAGGCTTGGCTGCCCGCTGCTTAGAAAATGAGGACAGTGCTCTACCACAGAGCTTCATAGCAAATGGAAAAAACCAAGTAAGAGTTAGACCCACCGGTACAATAGGAATGATGAGAGCGATCCAAAAGCAGAATCATTAAACTGCATCAGGCTCACTAATTGACTCCCCCACATTAACAGTGAGCAGCCCTCTGGCCAAGTGGGGACTCATTCAATAGCCTTTATCTTTGCATCGCTCATCCAGTCAATTCATTAAAGCCTGTTGCTCTCACAGGGTGCCTTTGGATGAGTTTGTTTCGTTTCTTGGGCTCCTTGGCTCACAGATCTCTTTCACAATGTCCCTGGTTTCTAAATGCTCCGTAAGTACCAGCTGAGCTGTGATGAACCTTTGCAGCCACTGCTTTCACAAGCCTGTCTCTGAGCAAGTCAAAGCAGCAGAGAAAGATGGGACAGGAGATAGGGGGGAAGAAAGGGGCAGAGGGATCTCCGCCTGGTGCCTGCGTTCCCAGACAGAGCCAGCAGGCGGTAGCAACGCTTCAGGGAAGGCCCCAGCCCGGCAGGCGGACCAAACAATAGACCCCCAGTCCAGCGGTGGGCTGGAAAGGAGTTGAGAGGTGGGCGCTAAACTTCTTCCTCCCTGGGCTCCTCAGCCCTCGCTCCAGGCACCACGTGAGCGCACCTTCCACCGCCTCTC